GAAATTAATAGGTGTACAAATTTGAAGCAAAATTAACAATTTAAAAATAAATCATAAGAATTTTGATTCATTATTAGATCTATTTACAAATGATTATGATTCATTCGAATTTGGTTGGGATTTTCTTAGGATTTATTTAAGATTTCTTTTTAATTTAGTTAAAATTTGATTATGATTGAATTAGTATTTCTTTAAGATTTTTTAAAATTTAATTAGGATATTAGTAACTCATAAATTACTAAAGATATTCTTAAGACTAATTTAAGATTTTTTTAATTAAAAAATTTTTATAATGTGATTTAAATTTTTTATAATTATATTTGGAATTATTTATAGTTTTTTGGAATTTAATTAAGATTTTATAGGACTTAATTAGAAATTCATAAAAAAAAATAGATTTTATTAGATTATTTTAAAATTTTATTTAGAAATTTCTTTCGGATTTCATTAAAATTTAATAAGATGTATTTAAATTTTTTCTAGGATTAATAGGATATACTTAGAAAATCTTAGAACTTACTTTGGACCTTATTTAAGTTGTTTATGTTTACATAGTTTGTAATTTAAAATTAATAAAGATAGAAATTTATTACATTAAGGATTCTAAAGAAAATCAAGATTACCAAGATAGTGATTTTAAACATCTCATGCATTTTTTTGGATTCTAAAAACTTCAAAATAAATTGAAATATTTTTTTAAATATTAAAAAAATATATTAATAAATTGAATTAATCCAATTTATTGAGTTGATTTCATTTATTTTATTAGAGTTATTATTTAGCTAAAAAAATATTTCAAGATTTACAACTTTATTTGAATAAAAATATAAGAAAATTAAAAAAATATTAAATATCATATAAAGAAGAAATAAAGAAAATAAATAAATATGAAGAGTGAGTGATATATGTTATAATAATTCAATGTCGTCAAATAATGGTTTAAGACCAAAATAGCATGAAAAAAATATTATAAAAGGTCAATAAAAAAATTATGAATTTATTGCTAATAGATTTAATATATTTATAATTTAATATTTATTTAATTTTTAAACACATAACTTTACTTCTTTTATTTTACTATAAATAAAAAAAATATTATAGAATAGATTCAAAACCAATATAAATAACTCTATGACAAAACCAAGAGAGCTTTTTAAAAATTTATTATAAAAATTGTTAAATCAATATTTGAAAGACAAGTATTTATGAAACAAGATCAAAATCACACTCCAATGTATAAAAATAAGTTTTTATAGAAAATAGAGATATTTTTTAGAAATTTGATCATAATATTAAGAAAGTGATCTTATAAAATTCTAAAATATTAGATTTCATAAGATTGTAATTTTTAAAAATTCTTCATTGAAAATATATATAATCAATTTAATTTCAAAGGTAATAAAGATAAGCATGTTTTTTTAATAGATTATTAAAAATCTAAGTTTGATCTATAATTTTTTTTTCTTATAAAATTATAGATATATAAGAAAATAAAAATTAATATTTATGCGATTTTTATAATTTATTTAAGAAGTATTGAATCACAAATACAAATGGTATTAGAAATAAGAAAATTAAATTAAATTTATAATTTTTAGATGTCTTAAGATTTAGAAATTTGATAATAAAAAAATTAAAGTTATTATTATTAATAAAAAAATTAAAGTTATTCATAAAAAAATATGTTATTTAAGCAAAATACTAAGTTCAAATAAAAATTAACTAAGTTAGAAGATTTATCAATTAGACTTTTTCATCAAATTTGGAATAGAAGTCTCTTAAAGATAAGTGAGGATATAAAAATAAATAAGTAAGATGTATATTAAAGAGAGATGAAAAAAATAGTATATATATTCGAAAAGAAACTAAATTGGCTAAGGCCAAAGAAAAGAATATTAAAAATTCTTGAAACATGACTAAAAAGAAGAAAGGTGTTGACAAGAGTGAAGAAGGCTTTATTCATGTTTCTACATATACTATCTAATTCATAATCTTAAAATATTTTTAAAAAAAATATTAATTTTTTATAAAGATTGTTTTAGGATTTTATTTTTAAAATTATGATTTATGAAAGATTTGTAAGGAGTTTTTAGGATTTAATTAATATTTTTATATAATTTCTTTAAACTATTTTTAGAATTAATATGGATTTTATTAGAAATTTTTAGAATTTATCAATAATTTGATGTTTAAAATATAAAAGAATATAAGTTGTACAGTTGATAGAATCTAAAATATAGAATACAAGATTGCTTGGTTTTAGGATTTGTAGAAGGTTAAATATGTCAAAAAAAAATTATTTTAAATACCTCACTCTTTTTATTATAAAAAAATTATAGACTATAAATAGTTTTCTTCTACAATGAAATATTTATTACATTCTATTGCTTTATTTTATATAACACAACAACAATAGTAGAAGTATAATAGATAAAGCTTTAGATATCTTAGTAGTTTATAGAGTTGTTGCAAGAAGATTAGCTTAAAGGTTATTGTTGCAAAAAATTTACATAAACTTTGTAAGGAAATAACACTAGATTTTAAAGTAATCCACTTTGTAGTTTACACAATATTATTTAAATGTGACGGAGGTAGAAAAAACTTATAGAATCTTTCTTTGATTATAAATCAAATACAAATGTGTATAAAATAATGATTCAATTAAATTATGTTCTTACTAAATGATATTGTATTTTTGTATATTATGTCTTGGATTAAAGACTAATGTATAAGAGCTTAGTGATAATATAGAATGATGTTTTCTAAAAAAATCAATTAAGTTATTACCTCAATACAAAAAAAATTGTATAAAAAAAATCAGATAAGTGTTTGATTTTTTAAAGTTCTATTTATATTCAAACCATGAATTTAAGCTTTAACAGATTACTCTAATATTTTATTTTTTCCAAACTTGTATTTTATTTATATGAATGCAGTTCGTAATGATATATTTGTATTTTTAATTTTAATCAATCTTTCAATAGGATTTATATAAAATTTCTGATATTATTCAAACACCTACCAAATTATAACAGCCTGCTTGAAACCTAAAATTAAAATAAATTATTGAATTATATTTTAGAAAAATTAAATATTATTCCAGGTAAGCATCAACCTTAATTGCCTAAATCAGAAATTTTTCAATTTTGTGCAATATTTGGTTCTAAAAAAGCACAAAAATGGATCAATTCTAGAGTTAAAAACAACATAAATTTCACTTTAAAATATGTATATATTTATTTATTTATAATTCAAAATAAGAAAATGAGAAAGAAATAAAGAAAAAGAAAAATAAAACTTAACACATGCAGTTTCTCAATCTGTTTTTGTACTTGTAAACGACCATTTATTCAGAAAACAATCCAAAGCCGACGAATGAAGAAACGAGCGAATAGATGAACGAAATTTGATGGATGTAAACATTCTCCGTTCTAAAACGGGGGCTGCAAAAGGTCTCGGAAGTCGCGATTTGACCGCCATCATTGCCTCGAGATCCCCTCGGGAGATTCTATGTCGGTGGCCCCGGGGGGGATCGCATGGGGAGCTTCGAGAGCGTCGGGAACGCGCTTCGGAGACCAGGTCGGAGACCAGCCCCGAGCCTCGTAGAATCGTGTTGCAGAAACCACTTTCTTAAATCGACTGTCTCGAGACATCTGGGCCGTCAGAATTTTAGATTGAATCCTGGCCGTTACAGGATTTATTGGGAACCAGGGGGGGGGTGGCAGGTTGGAGAGGGGCAGTTTGGAGGGCGGCAGGTTGGGAACTCAAAACCCATTCCGGATTGGGCCCCCACAGATCCATATTCTACCCCCTCATTGGGCCCACATTAGTAGAAACCCATGCCATTGACCACAAAAAAGTTCCAAAATAAAATGTAGGAACTTATTGTCTAATGCTATGCAAATCTACAAAGATTAGTACCGAGTTCACTTACAAATGGGTCAATCCGTAAAGGTGCAAACCTTCAAGTGCAATATAGTATCAAGAAATGCAAGTGAAGATCGCAATTCTTAAAAGATTGTGAATCAACGAGAAAAAAAAAAAAAAAAAAAAAAAAAAACTACAATTTCAGATTTTTTTTAATAGTATTCTTCACTGAAAAAAATAATTAAAAACACCAAAGTTTTACAAATCCATCGAAGCATACCGAAATTTTTCTCGTTAAGAAATTAATGTGGCATTTTGTACCTATTTGTATACTTGAGGCTTCAATATGTCAAAAATCAAAACCCAAATAATTTACTCATCATAGTGTTGTTGATGAAAAAGATTCCTTTTATACTTTTAAAAAGAAGATTATCAAATTATCTGTTTTACCTTCTTTTTGTTTAATTTTATCAAATACTTTAATAAATCAAAATTTCAAATTTATTTGAAAACTCTGTATTTCATTTTCTGATTTATGTATCACGTGACTTTATTCTGAGTCTTTTGTTAAAAACCATTTTACATTTACAAAATACAATAAATTAACATGAACAGGGTTATGGATGAAAAACAGAAAAATACACACAATCTTAAGTTTCAGATGCATCAGTTCCTTAAACTGAAAATTTAACTACATATACACATATAAAAACTAGGTTTATCTGCTTATCTGCATATCTGTTTATGTTTTATTTTCTTTTCTTATCTTTTTTTTCCATAACTAAACCAAGGTTGTTGAGTTAAAAAGTGTTTTTAAGCAATTGAATTGTGATCTCCCCACTCTCCCCTGCTCGCCCCGTCATGTCCCCTTCCTTGCTCCCTTCGCGCTCCCCTGCCCGCCCCCCTGCGTTCCCCATCAGTTCCCAGTAGGCCCTGTAACGGCTATTCAATATGGAAATCTGACGGTCCAGATGTCTCGAGACTGTCGATTGAAGAAAGTGGTTTCTGCGACACGTAGTGACGAGGGGCACCGAGGCCTCCTCCTCCTTGATGCATTGGGGGGGGGGGGGGGGGGTCATCGTCGTTGAATGCTGCCACTGATCCACACTCACCCTTATCGCCCCCTCGTAATTCTCTTCTCCACGAGATTGTTATTGTGCTTTTTTGCTCTCTCTCTCTCTGCGAATAATGCCTGCGGGCTTCATTCCCCACAATGCTAACTGCTTGCGCTGCATCTCCCTCGCGCCACATTACCACCTGCCCTCACTCTTGTACCTGCTGCTAGTCCACCGTAGTCAAGAGGGAAACAATTAAGAGACATGCTAACGGAAGAGGGGGAAGATCCTCTGTGGGAGTCTCCCACAACTTGTGTTGGTATCCGTTTTCGAGAGCGAGTTCTCTGTGAGTGTGTGCGTCGTCTTGGTGACCAGAGTGTTGGGCAAGTAAGTGGCGAAAGTTGCGAAATTTCTGTGTGTTCTCCTAGGGTTTTCGTACTCCTCCGTCACTTCCATCGCCAATCAAGTCACTAAATTGTTGAATACGTTGTTGTTTTGTAGAATTTGGGAAGAGTAAGGTTGGTGACATTGTTGGGTTGTAGTGGGTGGGTCCGATTCGTGTCGGAGATGAGAGATGCTGGGAAGAGTAGAGAGGAGTGGAGGAGATGGTTTCACTTGTGTTTTTTTTTGCTTTTTATTTATTTGTTAATTTTTTTGAATAGGTTTTCTGGGCTCTTTTGTGGTGTGGTGCGTTTTGGGCTTGAGGTTTGACGTTTATTTGATGGCTGCCCTTCAGTGAGCGATTCGAGTTTATTGGTGAACTTGATCCTCTTCGATTGCGAAGGAACTGTTGTGAGGAGCTCATTTTCAGTGTCTATTGGGCGTAAGATCTGGATAAGATCTTGACAAATTATACAAGAGTTTCCAGCTTTACTGTCATCTTTGCGTGTTTGTCTTCTGTTTCTTCTAGTAGATTTTTTGTCAATTCTGTGTTCCACACCATTTTAAACCAGACGAGACATATTTTAGTAGATGTCGCAAACTATAGTAGATGTCGCAAACTAGGGCAGTTGCGATGCCTGATCCGTCGCATCTGCTGATGTTATCATCTGCACGGACAAGGTCCGCGCATTGAGAGAGAGAGAGAGAGAGAGAGAGCACTTTCGAGGAATTCTCGTAATATTCTTTGGCTTCACTTGAAAGTAGTTTGAGCCCTTAAGTACTATGACTTCTGAAGAACGCGTTAGTATCGGAGTTACGTTCTCTTTGCTGTGAGGTGCGATAGACAGTCATCTGATGTTTAGGCATGCTGTACTTGAGAGACGTGTTTGCAGTGAGAGTGAGGAATTTCAGTATTGGGAGCTATCAAGATTTTTGGACACTGTGGATATCACGCTGATAGTGCTTCCAAGTCTAAAGCTGTACTTGATTACCAATTTACTCAGTTTTGGTTCTGTCTGTGTGTAGTCTCAGGTACAGTCCACTACTGATGGGTTACACTGGGTTGGGCGTTTGATGGATAGTCGACTTTTCGCGGAAAACTTGTGTGGGTGATAGCTCCTGATATGTGATGTGTTGGCAGGTTCAGAAAAGTACTCGTTGATAGCTTCGTTAGAGGTAATTCTATTGAACTCGATTGATTCCTGGAGGTTTAGAGCTTCTATAATATGGATTTTGAAAGCCGATAGATCTGCTTCTCCATGGTGTATTGCTAATTTGTTCTTATGTAATTTGGAAGCCTTAGTAGATTCTTTACGCCCTCATATTTGGTTTTTTCCTTTTTGAGCGGGTGCAATTGTGGATGTCTTCTGGGCGTAGGTCGATCACAGGCTGGCAGATTCAATTGAACGCGCAGTAACTATGGACAAGGGAGTCTGCAAATTCGTATGCTAAGAGTCCGGGGACATATAGAATCAGTTCAACTTGTTGGCTCTTTCTCGCTTCAATGGCTGGGGAAGCTTTAACTTCCTCTACGGCTCAAGGGTTCTGGGGTCCCATTACTGCAAGCACAGAATGGTGTGAGAAGAATTATGAGGTTACACCGCTGGTTGCCGAATTTTACAATACCATTTCCAATATCCCGGGTATCGTTCTTGCATTCATAGGTGTATATTATTCCATCAGCCAAAAATTTGAAAGGCGGTTCAGTGCTCTTCACTTATCAACAATCGCTTTGGGTATGGGTAGCATTCTGTTCCATGCCACCCTCAGATATGCGTAAGATCTCTCACCCTTTCCTATCACTGATTTTCTTCAGAGAGTTCGAACCATAGAGTGAAATCCTATAAATAAATTCCTATTGTGCAGCACCGATTCTCTTAGTTCCCTTTGTCTCTCAAAACGATTCCTGTGGGTTCTGTGGGCAACCTTCCCAGCGTCTTTGTTTTTTCACGTTCGCATTTGATATCGTTTTCTTAACTGTTGGCGATAGTTTCACCCTATGCACACACTTTCTCTGATTGACTCAGTTATCATGTGGTATGAGAGGTCCTCCATAATTCTGATATACTTGTCTGTCTGTGCACGTGATCTACGCATTATGAGCAGTCAACAGCAGTGTGATGAGACGCCTATGGTTTGGGCAATGCTCCTGTACATTTATGTACTTTATTCTCCCGATTGGCACTACCGCAGCACAATGCCCACAGTCCTGTTCCTGTACGGAACTATATTTGCCATTCTGCATTCGCAATTTAGATTTGTTGCTGGATTCCAAGTGCATTACGTCTTTTTGGCGTTGCTTTGTCTCCCGAGGATGTACAAGTATTACATGTACACAAAGGATCCGCTGGTGAGAAAGTTAGCTCATCGGTATGTTCTGTGCCTTGCACTTGGAGCTATATGTTGGTTGGCTGATCGGCACTTGTGTAGTTGGATATGTAAGTTGAAGGTGAATCCTCAAGGCCATGGTTTGTGGCATGTTCTTGTGGGTTTCAATTCATATTTTGGAAATACGTTCCTACAGTACTGCCGAGCACAGCAACTCAACTGGAACCCGAGGATTGAATACTCGTTGGGAGTTTTACCCTATGTGAAGGTTGAGAGAAGTGACAACGATCGGAAGGAGGAATAGGAATGCTCACGAGCACCCTGAGTTCAAATGACGTTTTCTGCATGCTCTCTGGAGCTTTCTTGAGGTGCTTGGTTGCTGAGAAGATACAAAGATTGTATCCTTGATGTATGAAAGCCAACCACTGTAATGTATTATTGGTTATACCTCATACTTGAAGGCTGAGATACATCTTGTACGCACGGTAAACATATTTTAATGTTTATCTTATCGATTGAATTTTCTGACTAAGTGGGGGCAGTGAAGGATGAACACATAGTCAAGTTGGTCAACAATCTAAGTATGAAGGGTCTCAATGGGATTTTTTGTTTTTTATTTCTTTATTCTTTATCTGGGTTGCTGTTCCTGAGTTGCTTGTATTTGACACTCACAAATGGTTATTCCTCATTCCTGACTTCCATTGGCACATTGGAAAATATCTTCTTCACTGAAAATATTCTTCAGTTAAATCTTCGAGTTTATTTTGTCATGCTCTCGTATCTGTTTGCCACTCTCTGAGACAAGCTCAGAAAGAGAGACCATGCCCAAACCATCCACCTGGCGGTTAATGGTACCAAACAGTATTCCTGCAATGGAGATTGAGAGTTCGGCTGAATATTTGTTAGAATGCAGAATTTGAATTACTTCAAGTGCAGGATGGGCACCCTTTGTTCCAGATAGCACCAGTTTTGGTCAATAATTCTCATTCTGAAAACTTTAATCGGATCGTAACACATCTTGTCTTGTAAAGTAGAATGGTTCTATCAGAACAGATGATTGGTTTATTTTTATTTTTATTTGTACCCTTCATCACTGACAATAAGCAGACCAGAGTGAGGTGGTTCGGAAGAGTTTGTCAGTCCGACGCAGGGCTGTAGGACATGGCGGTTTGTAGAGCATCCTGGAAAGGTTTGGAAACGAATCTCGTAGTGGCCAGTTGTGATTTGACGTTCTGGGCATGTTCGCTTAGTTGTTAGAAATGGCACACCTGTCCAAATATTATTTGGAAAGCTCAATACCGACCACAAGTTATTGAAATGTTTGTGATTGATTTCTTAACAGTAAAAATAAATTAGAAAAATCCAAACATATCATTTGTTTGAAAGATATGATATATATATATATATATATATATATAGAGAGAGAGAGGGAGAGTATCTTGCTCAATACTCTCTCTCTAAATATATATCAAGATAAATAATAAAAAAATTAATATCGTGGATTTTCTTAGAGAAATTTATCACTGAATATTTTTTTAAAATTTAATTTCTTTAATATAAAAAGTAGACAAAATAAACGTTTTTTTTATTCTTTTATTTGTTGGAAGTTAATTCTAAACTTAAAGTAACCAATAAATATTCATAAAAAAAGAATTAGGTTGCTATTCATCATGAATATAGCCCAATTTGAAACCAAGAACATAAATAATCTATTTTATTTTATTATGGGGTGTTAGAGTAAGAGAATGCCTTGAAGATAAATTAATAAAGTATTGAGAGGCCAGTAAAAAAAATTAAAAAATAAAGCTAACATAGAAACCACCATAGAATGTTATTTGCTAGAGAAGAAAAGAAGATCAAGTACAAATATTAGAGATTATTAATTAAAGACATAAAATATGAGTCTAAAAGTCACAAACTCTACTTGAAGTTGCCATCTTTATTTTTTTTCTTTGAATCTTAGTAAAAGGTAATTTTATTATATATAAAATATTAAAATAATTAGTAATAAAAATAAAAATATATTATATATAATACTATTAAAAGAAATTATTTTTACTTTCATAAAAAAATAAAAGTCTCTAAGGAAAAAGAGAACATAAACAAGGTTTATCAACATTATTCAACAAATGAATTGCATTAACTTTTTCTACATTGACAAGTCATGTAGGCTGATTTATGAGATACTCTTGATTTTATCCAATTCAATGTCCATCCATTGTTTCACAACTTGAATTTTTACTTGAAAATGCATCAGGCACCTAGTTGTAGAAGGTAAATAGAAAATACAACAATAAGATCCTACCAAGTCTAATAGAATTTTAAATAAGGTCTAAGTAATTCCTAACAACTATAATCAAATTTTAAGCAATCTAAAAGAAAGTTAATAGAAATTACAAAAGAAACATAAAGAAGTCATAAATTATTTTTAAATAAAAATAATGAAGATATCTTTAAAAAATATAAAATAAAATCTTTAAATAAATAATAATAATTTAATATACTAAAATAGAAATATTAATAATTCTTAAATAAATCCTAGATAAATCCTAACCAAGTCTTGATTAAATCCTAATCAAATTCTAAATCCTAGACCAAATCCTAATCAAATCCTAAATCCTAATTAAATCCTAAACAAATCCTAAATAATTTTGAAAAAATCTCAAGTAAATCTTAATTAATTATCATATTTATTTTAAAATCTCAATAAATATTAATTGAAAAAATCATCTTAACTAAAATTCTACTCACATGTCAATTCTCAAGCTATTAACAAGCATATAAATTTTGAGGAAAATTGATTCACTACTTCAAAAAAACAACCTCCTAAACTGCTTAGATATTGGTTGCCTTCCTTCTCCAAACCAAGTGTTGATATTCCAATAGCAACTTCTCCTTGCTAAGCCATTTAATTTCTTAAATTTTTTTTGATATGTAGAATTCTAAGTCTAAATAGTTGTCACCAATTTTTTCTTCAATTGAACTGACAAATGTTGCAAGATTGCAATAACCCTCATTGATCCTAAATTTCAATTATCTAAGACCATAATTCACAAAAACTCTCATAATTGTTTTGTTTAATTGTTGATTAACATCAATTTTTTCAAACACATTCAAGACAAATATAATTACAAATTTACAAAATTTTATTTGTAAACATACTATAACAATCACAAAATTCTAAAAATTATGTTCTTTTTGTTTTTAAAAATCCAAATCCATTGAATACATCTCTTTCTTTGAAAAGCCCTCAAAACTTCAATATGCCTTCAAATCATATAAAAAAAACTCTCAAAAATCCTCTCACAAGAGTGTTATCAAATCCACTCTTTAATCAATCAAAAAAACCTTGGAATTGCTAAAGATATATAGTTTTGTGCCTTAGGATCTAATTTCAACCTTGGTTCACAATGTGTCCTTTCCGAGTATTAATTCTTGAAATTTTGAGGTAATTTTTGGTAAAACTTAGTCTTAACTTCTCCTTAAAGATGTCTATATTAATTACTTATCTTATTTAATTTTATTTGACTCATTTATGCTCCTATAAATTAAATAGAAGTCTCTTCAATAAAAAGGTAATATTAGTATTTATTAAATTTTCTTATCTCTTTATCTATTATCTATATTTTAAAGATAATTTACTAAAATATATTTATTTAAGCTCCTCCATAAAAATAAAAATAAAATCTTTCTCCTTTTATCTAATAGTTATGTTACTATATGACATTGTTGCTTACAAGCAATAACTAGGCAACAAATTGTGCAAAGATTAAATGACTTTAAACAAAGTAAGATTCAACTAAAAGAAAAGGAAGGGTATTCTCTTTTGTCATAGAGAGGAGGGTGCTCTCTTTTCTTGTAGAATGGAGAGAGGGTATTCTTTTCTCTCACAAAAGAAAAGAATATTTTACTTGTAAATATCCTTACCTAAAGAATTTTTTGGTTAATTGCTCCTTTCTAGCAACAGCTTTGTCCAACGTTGAATGACTTCTTGTATTACATAAAGAAGTTGACAACATTCATGGCTACTCTTATCTCTTACAAAGGCCCTCATTTCAACCTTATTTTAATTTCTATTGTAAAAACTTTTGTGGCTTCTTAGCAAGTTGTTATCTTGTTTGTTGTAGCTTATTTTAAACTTTCATGCTCTTATTATTGTAGTATCAAGAATTTTGACATGATTCATTCAAATAGAAGTTGTGTACTTTGATATCAATTAGGAGTGTAATACGTTAGGTAATTATATTTAGATCTTTGGTTATATGATGAAGGCATGGTTAAGATCGTTTTGGTTGGGATAGAGTGTAGCATGATTATTGTAGTAAGTCCAACTAGTGGACACACACCCTTTTTTTTTATACTAGTTCAATTGATTCATATTCATGAGGTGTATTGTATATTAATTTGAGGTTGTTACAAAATATATTTCAAAGTCTATGGCGTTCTTCAAGGTGGATCCTTTTTAAACAAGGTGTAGTTCATTTGATTGTACAATATCTAATAGCAAAGCATTTAGTTCTAAATTTGATTGTACACTCATGTTTGGTTTTTTGGATTAGCAATAAGCTCATAAAGAAACCACAAGTTGTTGCTCCTTCTTTAGCCTATGGCCTTAAGAAACTTACTTCGTTTTCTTCTAGAGGTAATTATTTATTTATTTATTTATTTATATATATATATATATATATATAACTTTCAGATTTGAACTAGCAAGAAATGACCTTCCATGCTTTGGTGTTGAGCTTCAACTCATTCCTTTAGCATTTTTGTATATCATGGTCAAGCGATTTGTTATGATCCAAAGAGATGATAAGCTTATTAGTAGCAGATGTAGCATCTTAGATTTTTTGGATCTAAGCTACTAAGCTTTAGTCAACTAATGGCCATTAAATATTCATTGTAACTTCAATCATTATTTTTGTCTCAATGGAAATCTTTGGCCTGAATTACTTGCCTATTATAATCCACTTTGGTGCTTGTTTTTAACCTTGGTAGAGGTTTCAAGATAAGTTTTAACTAAAATATTATGTCTTGAAAAAGCTAATACATTAATTGTAGATTTTTGTCATATAAGATATGTCATGGGTTTCAATTCAAGCCATTAGTGATGTTAATTTTTTTGGATTTGAAACTTTTTATTGATAAATTAGTTCTATTCAACTATCATTCCTTTGCTTTAGTTGCTTTTGCCTCTACTCTTATTGATTCAATTTTTATCAGTGAACATAGATAAAAAATGATATACATTTAAAGTTTTATCAAATTGTATAAAATATTTGGTCTTTAATTCAACAATGTCTTACTTGTGTAAGATAGATGGAATCTATATTACTAAAAGTTAAATCTATGTCAACTTTTGTTCTAGCCAAGTAATGGAGGATGTCAAGAACTTTTTGATTTATTGTTAAACCATTAATTTATATAGATTTTTCATAATACATCATTATCTTAGCAATTGATGAGTAGCCTACTAACATTAGAACTATAATGCAAATGTATAAAACTTAGGTCAATGATGTC